AGACATAAATAAAATATACGAATAATCAAAATACTCGACACGTAAAATTATAATTAGAATTTTATATTTTAAAATCTATGATTTAGATTAATTTATTATGTTTAAAAGAATTTATATAAATAAATGTTTTTGTTTAATTGTTAATAATTTTTAATTATTGTCAACATAAGAAATACCTGGCTACAGAATTGTTAACGTAACAAAGCTGCTATATTAATTATTTTGTTTGGACAATTATACACTATAAAATACTAGTAATAACTGAGTATCCTACATGCAAAGACTTTTAAGTATCGATTATAGAACCTCGTCTTTACCGACCACCTCAGAATCAAATAATTCGTCATCCTGGATGTCGAGCGCGAGCGATCGCTGCCTTTGCATTCTGTAATATCGATCGAGTTTGTATTGCCACGACATCACAGCAATGTCGCCCGGTTGACGTTCTACTCGAAAGAGAACGTTGAAAGGCAAGAAATTTCCAATCTCTGTCGAATAAAATGAAATAGCTACCAAAAAAAAAAAAAAAAATTTCGTCAAAGTTGTCCAAATAATTCTATTATCACAAGTGCGTCGTTTCTTTTTTTTCTTTTAATTTTTAAATATGGTCAACTCGTGGACGAGTTCGAAAGATCCGCGTTAATAGTCTGATAAAACGAGCCGCGTAGTCGGCCTGTCGATTTTACAGATATAATTTATAAAGAAGCATTTTATAAAGGAAACTTGTGAAAGGTGCACGAGGGCGTGGTCGGCCATTCACGGTTGACCACTGGCCCAGTGGGTCCAGTTTACGGTTGAGCGATTGCGACATCGTCGTATCGACAACGCCTGCCGACTGGTTCGACCACTGGCGATTATTCGATATCCGCCAACCTCGTTCTCGTAATTTTCTGACTTTGTGCAACTCGCCCCGTAAATGTTCCCCACCCCCTCTCCCTCTGTCCTTCCACCTGAAAAGCCGTACCTGAATAACATCTTTTATCTCTCTTTCTTTGAGAAATTTGGAAAAAAACTGCAAGGACGATGGGTCATTTTTACGTCAATTTTGAACAGAAGGAGATTATTATTCTTATCGTTTTTTTTTTTTTTTTACGAAAGCAGTTTTACAAGATAGTCAATTTTTTTTAAACTTTTTTTTAATCAAAGTTTGATTATTTATTTTTCCACATAGTCTCCTATTAATAACCTCCTTTTAAAAAGTCACTGACTTGTCAAATTGCCTACATACATCTTTTTGTATCATTTTAATTTTAAGTGAATCGTGTTGTTAATAAAAATAATTTGATGGAACAAACGCTTTATCTGTGCAAATTGAATGTTCCAGTAAATCATAAAAAAATATGTAGAAATTAAATATGATGATATTATTTATGTTTTAAAAACAAGTTTTATCTCATATGTAAGTTATATTCATACTTAACAGACTTCGCATTTGAGGAAAAAAAAATATCTTTTGGATTTATATCCTTCTCTTCTTCTCAGGTACAGAATCGTTGTACCATTATGAATGCTGTTTACGCCGTTAAACATTGCACTTTGCCAGCATATCATGCAGATACTTGTATCGCTTATTTATACATAAGTCGATTTCAGATTGCAAAATTAAAATCCGGAGTCGCGAGTGTCATCGAACGCTACCGATACGATCCGTTTCGTAACCGACTAATTTCGATGATTTATCCGAACGAATTGCATCGTATAACTTATCAGTCGCGTGTTATAATGATGATTCGCAAATATTCCAAACTCTAAATACATAAATAAATTGCGATACTTCGTAAGAAGAAAAAGAAATATCAGAGAATCGCGTGAAGTATAAATGGTTTCTGTTGCCGATTAAAGCAAAGCATCGTAAAACCAATGCATTCCTTCGCCCAATTTACCTCCTCGCCGCGTCTCGTTGATTTGCATGTCGCATCGCACAGGATCGCTTCTCGCGAGAAGCAAGAGAGTAAAATCTCGATTCGTCGCGTATCCGCAGAAGACTCGAAGCTAATCCGATTAACGCTACCCTGCATATACTTACTGTCGATCGGCATCAATGACGCATTCCCGGCTTGAATGCCAGACAAATGTCAGTTGCCGCGCTTGTTTCGGAACAAAAAATAAAAGAAGGATATTCTGCGAGGATAATGCGAGTTCATTATATGTATATAATTCGCATTTACATAGTATATATGGATTCTGGGCACGCACGGCCGTGCGTGCGTGAGTGCGTGCGCACAACGATATATCTAGCAATCGATCGGAGCATCGACCGTCGAGTGCTCTAGTCTTTATTCTAGTCTCTAGAGCTCGATAGAGACATGCAACTTTCTGCTGCAAATTATTTCAGCTTTGTCGAGGAGGCTAATACTCGTATTCATAATCAGGCCTTATATTTAAGGCTTCCTTAAA